TCACCATATATTTTTTTGAATTATCAAAACAAGGAAGCTGAAGTGGGTGGGCATGCAACACATATGGGAGAGATGAGAACTGCATGGAGGAGAGAGACAACATGTTAGACCTCGCTGTAGATGGGATGATATTATTAAAATGGATGTTGGTTATAAGCTTGATAGGTGTGGATTGGGTATGTCTGGTTCAGTACTGGAAGTACTGGTGAGCATTTATGAACGTGGTAATCCGTTGGGTTTTGTAAAAGGCCGGGAATTTCTTGACTAGCTGAGCGTACTGTCAACTATCTAAGAAAGACTCAGCTTCATCGAGTTAGTTCTGTAAGAAACTGACTTTTGTTGCAGAGATGGGCTATGTGGAGTAGACTTTGGTGTAATCTAGTGGCCTACAAATGTTACTACATATCAAGACTGTACAAAGGATTAAATTATTGTTTTATGATGCTTTTCTGGAAGCATTTTTAATATTCCAAACCAAACTGCTTTGGCACAGAACTAAGCATCTGATTTTTGTTCAGAATGTACCTAATTTGACATTCAGCCGGAGCACCTGTCCCCCCTGTACCTTGGAATAGCTTACAGTTTTTGTTACTAGTGTTGGAGATGGTGTGTTCTGAAAATGCATACTACTCTTGATATCCAAAATTACTACTGTCTTAATACAAGTTTTGCAATTTTAATTGTTAAATATTTTGATTGTGACCAAATTTTACAGAGAAGAAAAACTTTTTTTTACACATCCCAGGCGTTTTAGGGGAATTACTTTCTTATAAGTGTGTTGTTGGTACTTGTCAGTGATTTTTATATTAACTGCATATATGATTCTTTCCAAAATACAGTAACTCTTTTTGTCACTCTCAAGGACAGTTTGATAGAGTGTACATTTGTAGAAGTAACTGCCTATACGATGGCAGCTGATAGGGGTACATATAATATTATGCCTGCATCTCCTAGTTTATACAATGAATGCATGCATGCCGTGTAAACTCATCCAGTGGTCTCTAGACAGTGAATAAAGTTGCATGACTGATCGGCATGTTCCATCATGCTCTGTAGTGGTTCTTAAAATATCTGTAATAGAGACTTCAAGTTTAATGAAGATGCTGAGATTGAATGTTAGGTTGGGTTTGTGTTGTGGATGTAACTGTATTGTTACAGTTCTAAATACAGTACAGCACAGCTGTCTTTTAATTTTTAAATTACTAGAGCAAAGCGCTCCTTTATTCTATCCGTTTCCGTTGATATTTAATACTTCGTTTTTCAGCGTGATGTTTTTGACGTAAATACGTCTATACGAAAGGGTCATTCGGCAAAAAAGTTTAACGAAGACGGGTCACAAAAATGTGTAAGATCAATATCAACAAATCGACAACAATGGTTACCTAGGAAACGTCATCTGTTTACTCGGCATTGTTGTTACCTAGGAAACGTCATCTGTTTACTCGGCATTGTTGTTACCTAGGAAACGTCATCTGTTTACTCGGCATTGTTGTTACCTAGGAAACGTCATCTGTTTACTCGGCATATAATGAAAGGAAGGGGGTTGTGTTTTAAAATCTTTAGTAAGACACTAAACTAACCCCGGGGGGGTTAGTTTAGTGTCTTACTCAAGTGTTTTAATCCCCTTCCTTTCATTGTATTTATTGCCTAAATATAATTTAAATACAGATACGTCAGTTTTCGTAATCGTAATATATCGAATGAGCAGTATGACTTGAATGAGTATTATTATTAGTATCAGATCTTGTTGGTGTTGGTACTTCAAATAGTTGATAACGTCTTCTTTCACTTTTCTTCATTTCTTAAATAGTTCTGATGTTTTAGTTCTTTACGTCGCTGTTCGGAGGCGATGTGCTGCTTCTGGAACAGTGATCATGCGACTGTCTTGGTAGTTGGTGATGCATTATTTCTTTACTCGGCATTGTTGTGTTCAGAAGGAGGAGGAGGAGGAGGAGGACATGTCTGCAGACTCAGGAACTGTAATAACTGAAGAGGCAGAAGCAACAAGTACAATTTCTACCGATGGAGCAGATGCCATCTCTGCAGATGCACTGAACATCACAATTGCTGTGGATTCTTTGAGGTGCACAGACAAAGAGGGTACGTGTAAAGAATAGCGCATTTCATTAGGGGCATGCGCTGGCCAAGGCGTGAGTGGAGGATAAATGTGCCAGGGCTGAGAACTATAAGCTATATCAAATATAATTTTGTTTTTCTATAATCAGTTCCTATTCTGGACTGCTATAAATTAATATTCATGTGTGTTACATAAAATTTTGCTGTCAGACTAGAAAATAGCATAAAGTTCATGCCAGATGAACGGCTCTCCGTGTGTCAAGTATAAAA